GTGCAGCCGTCTCCTGGTGCAAACACATCAGGCTGACAAGCAGGCGGGAGGGGAAAAAAATGCAGCTTTGTTTTGGCATTTGCTTACATTCCCATCACTTCTCATCTACCCTCATGAGCGAGGGAGTCTGCTTACAGTATGTGTGTATACGTGTTGGATGACGGTCTGCTTTGCTTTGTGTGCATGTGTACGGTGTGCTTCCCCTGCCTGAAACCAAAGGGGTGTGCAGGAGGGTGAACTTGGCTCTCCTTTCCTTTCCACAACCCTTTTACATGTGCAATTACATTCCTCATCTAATAGAGAACAGAGCTCTCCCTGAGTCCAATCACAATAAGGAGCTACTGTTCCCGCGCTGTGTGCCCTTACATGTGTGGCCACAACTGCCTTGTATCCCTGAGAGGATTTCCATTCATCTTGTCATCTAAGCTGTTTTCATATAGGAACTTGATTACAGATTGATTGCATTCATGTCTTTTTAATAAGTCATGGACCTGCCTGAGGTTCTGCTTTGAGAGGCTGATAAAGATGAGACTAAGAACAATCAGTATGTTGTCCAGCTTGTGCATACCTGGGTTCTCCAATCAACAAGGACTTCAGTCAAGACTGTGGGAACCTGGACGAGCACTTGAGCTGTGCAAGTTTCTGGATGATGACAGAATCTGTGTTTTACTTGAAAGTCAAACTGAAGGGATGAAGTCAAGTGTTAAAGACAAAACTAATCCCTTTATGATTTTTGCCTGTTTCTTTGCCTACTTTTCTATGGGGGAACTCACGGCCAACACAGGGTGACAAATTAGACATTTTTTTATTATTATTATTTATTTATTTACCATTATTTTACCAGGCAAATCCCATTGTGATCTCAGATCTCTTTTTCAAGGGCAATCATTATTATGCTTACATAGTGACAGTTTGCATTACCAATTAGCCTGTCATACATGTTGTTGTGTCTGTGGGAGGAAACCCAGAGAAAACCCTTGCAGTCATAGCTTCTTTCACAAGACAGTTCGGCAAAATCGCCACACAGTCTGGTCTGGCTTTGAGCTCCCTCGGTTCATTCAAAAAATCACAAGAGAAGCCAGACTGTTCCAGCTCACATGTACAGTACGTGATCAGAAACTAACCCAGCAGCTCAGAACCAAAAGAGGCATGGAGCAGATCTCAGTTTGGCTGAATTTGACCACAATTACACACATATTTATTGTGTGACACGTATCAAACAAAACAAACTGAGTTATCTCATTTTAGCGATCCTGCGGTTCAGTATTTTTTTAGACTAACTACAAAGTTGTTTCACATTGTCTTTAATATTCCCTCGGTAATAAAATCTGTTGATTAATCATGCAGCCTCCCACTGACGTTTTCCTCGTATTAAAAAATAATTTTAGTGATCCTGTGGTTCAATATTTTTAAACTAACTACAAAGTTGTTGTTTAGCATCATCTTTAATATTCCCTCAGTAATAAATCCGTCTGTTTATTAATCCTGTGGTCGCTGACGTCTGTCTCGTGTCAAACACACACACAAAACTGAACTAACTAATTTTAGTGATCATGTGGTTCAATATTTTTTTAACTAACTACAAAGTTGTTGTTTAGCATCATCTTTAATATTCCCTCAGTAATAAATCCGTCTGTTTATTAATCCTGTGGTCGCTGACGTCTGTCTCGTGTCAAACACACACACAAAACTGAACTAACTAATTTTAGTGATCATGTGGTTCAATATTTTTTTAACTAACTACAAAGTTGTTGTTTAACATCATCTTTAATACTTCCTCAGTAATAAATCCATCTGTTGATTAATCCTGCGGTCGCTCACTGATGTCATCAGCTTATCATTTCTGAGCAGCGGAACCACGGGTTGCCTTTTTACAAGACGGTCTGCCTGACTCGCGCCCGGCTCTGATACTACCTTGCTTAGGGGCTCAGAGGGGCATCAGAAGCGGACTCACTTCACTCGCCCCTCCGCCTTCGTGTTTTTTCTGAATGATCCAAGGAGGACACAACACGTCAGTCCCGGACTGAGCTGTCTTATGAATGAGGCTAGTATCGTACTTGCAGTGGGCCTCAACAAGAGTAACCACATTTTAGAGAATACGTTAGAAATTCTTGCACAATACAACAGTTACAAGCCAACAAGGTTCAAACGTGTGCTCTTAAAAACAACCCAAACTGATAATTCCTAGTTATTTCAATGACTGACAGTTTATTTTATAAAACAGTTGTCTATTTATTAACTATTTTGTCAACCAAAAAGCATGTAAGTTTCACACACAATTCTGTGCACAGCATCAAATAAACCTGTCCTGTTGAAACAGTCAAATGAAAGAGGAGGGTGTATTAACTTGAGTCAGGGTTTTTGTTGCATAATTATCTGCAGTGATGTTTTAAAGCTCAGACCAGTTAAATACATGACTCGTGGCAAGATTGCACCTCTTTGATGGATCAGTGTTGAACTGATAAGAGAAATTTAAGTATTTTGGAATGAAACTATCAGTCCTTTTTTTTCTATTTGCTAAGGGCTCAACTAAGCTTTCTTTCTTTGTTCAGACTTGATTATGCAGGCTTTATAGTATCATAATCATTTGTAATATGAATTACTTTTGTAAGTCTTACAAACATTGTCATCTGAATTGTCATCTGATTCCACTCAACTGAATTGAGTAACTGTAAAGTATGTTCAGTAAGATGGTCAGTAAGATAACTTTTTTTAAAGCCCAGCCTTGGTCAGGACAAGTTGATTAAAAGCACTTTAGATTTTTTTTGTCAGGAAGTTTCAGCATTCTAACTTGTTGCTGTCACTCTTTTGCTCATCTTCACCTTCTCCTGAAGTCAAGAGTTCATGTAGAGCTATCACTTGTATCCGGAAGGCAGGAATGATCCAGTGTCCATTAAACTGTTTGTTTTTTTTTATTTTGTTTGACAGAAGGCTTGTCTCAAAAGATCTCTACCCATTTCTTCAGATGCCACTCACAATGGCTTCATGAATAAATGCTTTTATACACATCCACCACCGATACCTGAACTGTACATCCCCCCTCTGTAGAACAAAGCACTCAGTCATGACTCAGTCAAATAATCATTATGGTTCTTTAAGTGCCTGTGTGGAGTGGTGGAACCAGCAGTCATAGCTGAGGAATGTGCTTCAATAAAACTGCCTTTGAATGTTTTTTTTAGGAAATGTCATAACAGCAACTAAAAAAAAAATCCAACATGGATAGACAGGATAAATTAGTTTTGCTGCTGCCAGTGGCAAACAGCCATCAGTACACCTGATAGTTGAGAAAAGGGGTCTTTTTCACTCTGAAGGAAATGAACCATGGCGTACTGCTGCAGTACAAATACATCTGAGCACGTCACTGTGAACTATAGTTTATCATTTTGTTATGTTGAATAAGGTATCCAGAGTAAACTCTTTTCCTCTTCATGCTGTCAAAAAACCTTACAGCTCTTTAAACCTTAAGATTTACCATTGGTAGCCGGCATTACGAAATTTTCCTAAAATTGTAATATATTTATATGAAGATGTGCAAGATAATACAGAATAAGCTTTCATTAAAAAAAATTGCTCTAAATTGTTCTTTCTAAAACATATTTTGAGACTTTCTCTTGAAAGGTTTCATAAATTTTATAAAAAAAATACCACTGCTCTGTGCCGTTTTCAAGTTTAATTGGATTTTTAGGTGCAAACTTTGAGCTTTAAAGCACAAACATGTGAGATATTTTTAATAGTTACATCATTTAGCTATTTTTTACCTTATGAAAAATAAATACTTTCTTGCTTTTAGTTAATTGGAAACCTGATAAAGGACATTGTGCAGCCTGATCCTTAAACAGATCTAGAAATGTAGAAAATGACAAACATTTGACTTCCTGCTTCACTAAAGATGTGGTCGCTTAAAATGCTCAATCATGCTGTAAATGCACAGTAGCACAGTCATAAATAAACATATTTTTGCACACTCAACAGGTACTGGTGAGCATATATATGTGTGTGTGTGTGTGTGTGTGTGTGTGTGTGTGTGTGTGT